CTTCTTATTAATTTATTTGTTTTGGAAAGACGATTCTGTTTTCCGTTTAAAAAAATGTAACTTTAAAAGCTGATATTCAAAAATAGTCGACAAAACCTGTTCGTGTCAAAAAAGAAAGACCCAACCGATAAAAACACTATAATAGTGATTACCGAAAATATAATCAGATAAAATAATGACCCAAAAAAATGATACAAAAAAGTACGAAGGATCAGTATAGACAAAAATCCAGAAAAAAAATACAACAGAAACTGAAACCAGTGACAACAACAGCAACAACAAAAACGACAATATAGGAGAATTATTCACTGAAGTGCATCATCAGCATGACGGAGTTCCTGGAGTGAGCCAAGAGCTACGCACATCTTATCAAAAACGATGGACTCTTGGTAGACCTTCAATAATTATAGAAGTTTGAAAAAGAATCTGTGTCAGTATTTGTTGTCGACAAGCACACGCGCAAAATTTATCGCGTTATAAAAGGTTCCGGTATTAAATCTTTGACGTACCTGAGTGTTAAACTTCAAAGAATTATCAAAAGAAAAGGTTACTTTATGTGGGACATACTGTTACACACAGTTGTGACCTAGTAACAAGAATAGAATATTATGGCAGGTTGAAGACTAACATCACAGTATTTGATGCCCCTATTCGATATTGTAGAGGAGCACTTGGAAGCCTACCTAGTTCAACTTGGACATATGCTCCGATGATCTGCTAGATATCAATGCCTTCGTCTCCGTCCCCAAATGTCTGGATGAGGGTCAAAAAATGTCGGTCATTATGACCCGCCGTAAACCAACATTTTGTTAGTATGGAGAGACTAGTCACTTCTCCTCTTTCTGCCCAGTGAGAATGGCTCAGGTCGTGTCTGTTATTTCCGGTTTGCTTCTAATAGGCATGCCACCGACCAGAATTCCGGCCGCTTGTCTGGTTGCGGAGAAGGAAAAGAGGGAATAGCAGGTCGTTAGCAAGACCAAAGCGAAGCCTCAGACACGGGTAAAGGCACACACAACTCTACTTCATCTACCAGTTCCAAAGGCGATTCCCCAGACAGATATGATAAACAAATCAGAAACCGGTGATTAAATTATGAACCAAGTTTCGGAAAAGCCGAGGAATTACAACTAGTGCAAAACTTGAACAATCTACAAGAAAAATTGGTCCTTCTCCCTCGGCAACGTCTTCCCCAACAATCAAAGAGCACTCCATGGCACCACGTCCAATCTTGAAATCATTAACATTCCACCCCTTAAAAATGGACACCCTCAAGAAGACTCCTATTCCCAAATCCCCGGCAAAGAAGCAGTCTATTCCATCTAATACTCATAATCTATCCTCTGTCCTAACACCCATCAGTACACTCAAAAATTCCGATCAACAAAAAAGAAGTCGCTGTACAGACTCAAACGAATCTTATTTACATTATTCGGACTATCGTCCTCATCTTTGTCGCCATATTTATTACAATGTTTCGGCCGTTAGACGCTCCGGCCTTCTTCAGTTGGTTGAGATGTCAAACTGAACCCTTTATTTCGCTCACTGGGATAGACTGTTCTAGTTCCACAAGCCATGTTTAATGGATGTCAGTTATCAGATATCTCCTGTTAATTCGCCTCTCCAAGTTCCCCACTGCCTTAACCTGGTATTGAACTCACACTCTTTGTGTGCTGTCACTGGGTCTAGCTAACTTATTTATCCACTGTGCTTATGTGTCCTCGAGGACACATGGCACGGTGTATCTAACCAACGCCTTTATCCACTGTGCCATGTGTCCTCGAGACTTGTTCGACGGTCGTTCAAAGATTTCTAAGCCTCACACGAAAGAGAGATGTTGTGACACGTTAACTAGGCGTATATTAAGCTTGATTTGTAAAATATGTATTTTATTTTAATAAATTAAGAATAGAAAACGGTTAAGAATAGAAAATACTTTAAAACATGTTTCGTTTAACAAAAAGTACTAAGGGAAAAAAGAAAAGGAAAAAATAAATAAATAAACGCTTTTTTTCTTTTATAAGTAAATTTGTGGAAGAGAAAAGGGCATCAGATTACTGTTAAATCCTACCAGTCTTCCAATAAAATATTTGACTAAGTGATTTGATGTGATAAAACATAAACGTTTAGGAAATAGATTTTAAATGACCAGGTCAAAAACTGTCTTTACTGTATCTCGACAACACATTAAGGAAATAAAGAAAAGATAATAGAATTTTCCCTTTCTCCAGGCAATAAAAAAAGAAAAGGGCTATAAAAACCTCCGACGGCCTCCACACGAAGATTTGTTAAGATAAAAAGATAAAAAAAATCCTGGAAGATACATCGTTGGAGGCCGAGTGGAGACGGGATGTTTTCACATCAAAGGAAGCAAAATTTAAGTACCTTGAAATTTTGAACTCACAGTCGCCAATGCTTATCTTTTGTTTGCACCCGGCGGTCTAAAAGACTTCCGAGAATCTCAATATAAATACAAGTGATTTTTCCGAGCCGAGCAGTTCAGCCGGGCGTGTGCTTGAAGTAGCCACGTGTGTCAGGCACACTGAAGAAGTGAAACTCCGTTCGTCTGAGTCGGTCGGTTCGGCATTTGATCTCCATTAGTTAGAGTTAGAGCTGAGTGTCACATCGCCTACCCCAACGGCAAGACTAAGTCTGAACGAAATAAAGCGTTGATTAAACTCACCTAAGTTGTGGAAGTTCGTTCCTTCAAGGGTTTATCTTGTGCCCCCAGCTTGAGACTTTGACTTTTTCAACCAACCCCCGGCAACATCACAGCGTGGAGAACGGCCGCCGGAGAAATTGTACGGAGCTCACAAGGGGTGTTACAATGTTCACTATTTTTAAATATGGTCACCGTTGACATCAATGCACTAGGTCCAACGATTGCAATCTCATCCCAGAAATATGGCGTCCTTCAAAAAACACCTACACAGTACATACGCCGTCCTTCAAAAATTACTCCACTGTGCATATGACCTCATCATTGTTTCCAAAAAGGCAACCACACAGGTGAGATTTGCGTTTAAGAAACGAAAAGAAGTTGGATGGAGCTAATTCTAGCGAGTAAGGGTTTGTAATAGAATATCACAATTGGCTGATTCAGCGACTGCAACTTGAGCAGTGCAAATGTGTGCATTATCTTTGGCCAAGAGCACACCTATCCCCAGCTTCCCTCAGCGTTTCGACTTGATTCTTTTGAGATAATGATTCTTTCCCTATACAAGTCCTACGATTTAATCCGTAGCTAGGGGGGAAAGGTTGATGCATGCCTTTCCCAAGAATATTTGCATGTAACTGAAATTAATGATTTAGTAATGGAGTAATGGAATTTGAACATTGTTCTCAGATTTCTCATTCCGTACTGCTAGTCATTACACCACCCGCACATCCCAATAAGAATGGATTTATGAAATTGTTTTGTTACTACATAAATACATTGCAAACATCTTTTAGCATAAAATAATTGCTAATAAATTGCAACCTGTGATATGATGCGTAAACATCATTAAATATATCAATAATTTAATTCTCTCTGATTACATTTAATTTCAGACACATGTGTTATATAAGAATAAAGTTTACGCTGTCGGTACTGTAGTTTCAACACAGATCAATTTTGTTAATGTTAGTAATAGAAGATTTTAATTATCAGATATGCGTGGATGTCCACGCCCTTTAAAAATGGGGGCCCTAGGTTGTCAGTTATTCTTCCAACTCCGCTAATTTCGTCCTGATGTAAGTCTCTAATACATGTTTGTGTGCAGCGTAAGAAAAGAAAGAAAAACTAGAGGTCATTGTTTTAATACAACAAAAGAGAGAAAAAATATAAATGTCCTTCCGCTATGCAAAAATGAGAGTACGAGAAGAGTTGGCATTTTGAAAGCGCACTGCCAATATGATGCTCCCTACTCTCAATGGTGAAATACTACGTCAAAGTAGGACTTTTGACCTAAGACTAATATTTATGTTTTTAATTTAAGAGAGCAAACACAGGCGATCCTATTTTGAATAACCTGATGGTAAAAGAAATCTATATATGGGAATTAGCGTGCCGACTAAATGATCAATCACCGAATTACCTCAGAAGTGTGCTTGTCTAACTCTCTACCTCTGGGCAGAGAGGAACCAAGACGAGGCTGTGCTGGAGGACAAAAGATCGTCAGGGATGGTAGACAGCTACCCAGCACCGTTTTTACGGTGTCTACGGGGAATTTTTGTCCGAGCCTATGGGCACGGATACCTTACAATAAACTTGGCCTTATGCCCCATCCGATCCCGTAGGGTGGTTAGTAAATATCCCACTCGCCGTATTAACTCGGAAGTGTGCTTGTCAAACTCTCTGCTTCCGGACAGCAAGAAACCCAGGCGAGGCTGTGCCGAAGGGCAGAGTCTCGTCTAGGGTGATAGACAGCTACCCGACCCCGTTTTTAACAGGGTCTACGGGAACATTTTGCTCGAGCCTACGGCCTCGGATACACCACAATAAACTTGGCCTTGTGCCGCATCCAACCGCATGGGGCGTCAGGGAAATATCTTACTCAACCGAATTACTGAGGAGGTGTTTTTGTCAAACTATCTGACTCCGGAGGGAAGAGGAACCAAGAAAAGGCTACGCCTAAGGGTAGAGTCTAGTCGAGGGTGGCAGACAGCTACACGAACTCGTTTTTCGGGGTATACGCGGGATTTTTGCCAGAGCCTACGAGCTTGGGTACCCGACAAAAAACTTGGCCTTGTGCCGCATCCAACCGCGTCGGGCGGTACTTGAATATCTCACTGAATTACTTCGGAAGTGTGCTTGACAAACTCTCGGCCTCCGGTGGGTGGAGGAACCGAGACGAGGCTCTTTCCCGTCTTGAAGCCCGAACACTGCAATCACTTGTCTGTTTCTTGCTTTTGTTATTGTTTATTGGAAGTTTTGCCAGTTCCGCTTGTTGGGTATTTCTGCAAATTACATTTAACCATGGCCTATTACTCTACATTATTGATTTAAACTTATTTTAATATTAATATTTAATCCATAGTTGGGAGGGTGAAAAGAAGTATCCATAAAGAGCGACAAGCGAAAGAGAGAGAGAGAGAATTGAGAGAAGGGGGGAATTGAAAGATGGAGAGAACCGAGAGAGAAGCAAGAGAGAGTGAATGATAGAGATGAGAGAAATAAGAGAGAGAAGCCAAAGAAAGAGAGAAGCACGGGAGAGAAACGAGTTAACCGAGAGAGAAGCAAGAGAGAGAGTGAAAGGGAGAGATAGAAAGAGAAAGAGGGATGAGAGAGACAGAAGCCAAAGAAAGAGAAGAGCGAGAGAGGAACAAAGAGAGAAGCGAGAGAGCGAAACAAAGAGATGAGCGAGAGTGACAGAAAGAGAGGAGCGAAAGAGGAACAAAGAGAGGAGCGAGAGAGAAAGAAAGAGTGAAGGGAGAGAGAAAGAAGGAGAGAAGCGAGAGAACAACAAAAAAAGGAGCGAGAGAGAGCAACAAAGAGTGAAGCGAGAGAGTGGAACAAAGAGAGAAGCGCGAGAGAGAAACAGAGAGAGGAGCGAGAGAGAAACAAAGAGAGGAACGAGAGAGAAAGAAAGAGAGGAGCGAGAGAGAGAAACAAAGAAGGAAGCGAGAGAGAAAGAGAGAGGAGCGAGAGAGAAAGAGAGAGGAGCGAGAGAGAAAGAGAGAGGAGCGAGAGAGAAAGAAAGGGAGGTGCGAGAGAGAAACAAAGAAAGGAACGAGAGAGAAAGAAAGAGAGGAGCGAGAGAGAAAAACAAAGTGGGAAGCGAGAGAGTAAGAGAGAGGAGCGAGAGAGAAAGAGAGAGGAGCGAGAGAGAAAGAGAGAGGAGCGAGAGAAAAACAAAGAGAGGAGTTATAGAGAAACAGAGAGAGGAGTGAGAGAGAAACAAAGAGACGAACGGCAGAGAAACAAAGAAAGGAGCGAGAGAGGAGAGAGAGAGCAACAAAGAGAGGAGGAAGAGAAACAAAGAGGAGTGAGAGAGAAAGAAAAAAGAGCCAGAGAAAGAGAGAGGGGCGAGAAAGAAACAGAAAGAGGAGCAAGAGAGAAACAAAGAGAGGAGCGACAGAGAAACAAAGAGAGAGGGGCGACAGAGAAACAAAGAGAGAAGCGAGTATGCCTAAGAAGCAGTTCTTTTCATAGCCAACACTGACGGGATTCAAACAAGACAACCTGCCAAAGCCTGGAACAAATGACCTAGTGTAACAATTATTCTCATACCAGAGTTGAAAAACATTTCAGAGACATATGTAAAGTTGCTTAACTCTCATGAGATTCTTAATCAGGGATTCTGAATGTTGGGTTCATGCCTCACAAGGTGTTAATTTGGAATTTCACTAAGCAGATCTGTTAGTTTCAATCTGCAGTAGAAATTACTGCAAAAACATCCCCCTCTCCAAATTCATAGACAAAATATATCAATGCATGCTGGGATTCCTTCCTAGCCAATAAGATAGACCACCTCTTAGTCTCATACGCCATATTTCTATCCTTTCTTGCCTTGAAGTCAGAACACCCCGATCACTTGTCTGAAGAAGCAGTTCTTTTCATAGCCAATACTGGCTATATATAACATATACAACTATGTCAGTTAATACTATTCTTAGTTTGTTACAGTTACAACACCAGAGCGACCTATCGGTTCTCCAGAATTTCCAGACTGGAACTAGAATTTCCAGACAGGAACTAGAATTTCCAGACTGGAACAAAAATGTAGAGGATACTAGAAATTTTGTCAGTTCAAAATTAAATTTTTTACAAGCCCGCTACATATAATATCGGTTTGAATCTTGTAGAAAAGATTCAAAACATCCTCCTCCCCAAATTCATAGACAAAAAATACCACTGCATGCTGAGATTTCCTCTTAGCCAATAAGATAGAACACTTGTTAGTCTCATACGCCATATTTCTATTGTTTCTTGCCTTGAAGTCAGAATACCACAATCACTTGTCTGTTTCTCTTTTGTGTGTTAAAACTATTCCTAGTCTGTGAATTTTTTGCCTAATTATTGTTCCTTTGCCTATATTTGTCTTGCATATATTGTTTACCCAGTATCATTGTTGCTATGTTCTATTTTTTCTTTTGTTGCAAACTTTGTCAACACTGGTTGCTGGGCTTTTCTGTACATTACGTTTATCCACGACCAGTTATTCTGCAGGGTTTTTTAATAACAAAAAAGATGAAAAGCTAAACAAACAGATAAAGAAAAAAAAATCGAATTGGCTAAATTATATACCAAAACACATTTAAAAACAAAAATAAACGTTTGAAATTATCAGTGTCTCCTCTCCTTCCCTTTATGCGCATGCGTACTTACAACAAATTAGATATGACTTTCGTCCGAGGAATTCCTAAAATACGAAAGACCCGTACGAAAAATGTTTTCCACTTTGTCCTTATTTATTCATTTTTTTTTACTATTAAATAATGTAAATTAATATACGTTGACGCTGTATCACATAGAAATATAAATTATTTCCGTCCATTTATCTAATATCGCCTTGTAGGTATCTCTGCATACATACACGCGAGCTGACATTGTCTTGTAATAAACACTTTTTTTATTGCTATCTTATTAACTCGAAAACTATGAATATTTAACACCATCATGAACCTTCGACGCATAAATCGATTATCAATATAAGATGCCCATATAATTCCTTCCCTCATTGTATTTTCTTCCTGACTATATTAATATCATCTTGTTCGAAATAAGCAAATATCTTTAATGCAGTCCGCTTCCCGTTCATGTTTGCACTAACATGGTCAAACATCTCATCTTTCGCCTCGTCATTTCCCGCCATTTTGCGATTGTTCACTAATGAAGTGTCCGCCATGTTTGTTTCCTTTCTTTTACGTTTTAGTCTCTTCGCCATCTTTGTTTTCCACGTAACAAAGAACGACGCTTTATGGCCGTTGTATATGATGATTGAAGTTACGCTCGGTAGAGATAGCGAATTATGGATAATGAGGAGAACGAGCGGCGCTTGTTTTTGATGTGAGGATGAGAAGAAAGATTGTTGCGAATAATGTCCGCTTTAGATGTACAAAGTGATGGATAGAAAAGGCGCGAGGGGGTGATCCAAGAATTACTAAAGGAAAAGAAAGCTCGACTATCGTTGAATAGTAAGATATATATGAACACACACATACATACACATACAAACACACACACACACATACACACACACACACATACATACATACACACATATATATATATATATATATATATATATATATATATATATATATATATATATATATATATGAGAGATAATTAATTTAAGTATTATAAATATTTTGTAGTCTGGCCGATGGAAGTTACCTTCAGCATTCCGACACCAGGGTTTCATCGATGCCCCACCCGAGGATTGCACAGTCAACTCCTCATGATAATATATATATATATATATATATATATATATATATATATATATATATATATATATATATATAAATTTAATATATATATATATATTTATATATATATATATATATAATATAAATAAATATATATAAAAAATTTAATATATATATATAAATACATATAAATTTAATATATATATATATATATATATACATATATATATATATATATATATATATATATATATATATATATATATATATCAACGATGGAATTATTCGTACACACATCAATTTTTGATATTTTTTTATCCATTTCTCAGAATCTAATACCCGTATATATGCCAATTGTTTTTAAGTGTTAATAAGCGCCAAAACAGAATATAAACCTTGGTTTTTAGAACAATATGTTAAATACAAAAAATTTGACAAGCGAATTATGCAAAATAGGAAAAGACAAAATTATTCGTACAGTATGAAAAATAGACAAATTTAAACATTTTTCACAATACTAATAGTCAGTATCATGGCCTCTCCTCTTTATAACTTGCTGCAATCGTCGTTTTTTTAAGTTTTTGATGACATTTGAACAAATCTTTTCTGGGATTTTCTTCCATTCCTCAATGGTTGCACGTTTTAATTCCTGAAGTTTTTTTGGAGACCGATTATTTATTCCAACGTTCAAATTTTACCATCATACGGATATTAGATTCTGAGGAATGGATAAAAATATTCAAAATTGATGGGTGTGCGAATAATTTCGTCGTTCACTGTATATTGGAAATTTCTATGGGCTTTAGAAGCCTATTTTCACGAAAAATTCTTTCAAGTGAAAGCTTTTATAGATTTCAAATGAAAACAATGAAAATTAGAATAGAAAACAATACAAATGAATCTAAAACAAAAAGAACAATAAATGTAAAAATATCATGAACTGAGAAGAAAAAAAATCGAATCAGAGACCTACCTAAATAGTAAAAGACAGCATTTTATGTCTAAATGAGTAAGACAGGAGAAATACGGTAACCAGTGACAAAAGACAAAAAGAGACAAATTTCAAACCGGTTACTCGAATTTCAAGTTACCAAAATAGTAACGCGATATATATTATGGACATACGGATAGATTGAAATCGATAGATCGATAGATACATACATACGAATATACAGAAATAGAAACTATATTTCTTCAGATATATATATATATATATATATATATATATATATATATATATATATATATATATATAAAATGCAAATATATTGATAAAATAGGAAAGAACCGTTAGATTGATGATCCGAAAATCTTTATTATTTTTGTTTTTTATTAAAAAAAAACAAACAGTGCACAATACACAATTAGAGCCTAGATCATAATTATGTTTAAAAAAAATATGATTCCATCGTTACACAGGAATTACCATGTTTCAAAAACAAAAGCTACTAAACTTCCAATTTAATTATAGAAATTAAATTAAAGTACCTAGTTCTGTTTCATTTTCAAGCGAGTTTTGTAATATATATATTTAAATACAGTAAATTAAGTTTAAATACAATAAATTCGACCTTGCTGCCCAAACGCTCCTCTGTGGCCAAATCGGTTAACGTCACGTCAAGCTAAATGACGCTTCCGTATATTATACAGGTTCGAATCCTGTCGGTGGACGAATATTTTCTGTGAAAATTTCTCCGACATTGTGGCCGGCAAATGTTTTTTAATACTGTTTATTATAAAACGGAACATTTACTTAAATACTTGTATCTATAAAAAGAATGTATTAACATAAATATGTTTTAATATAATTGTCGTACTTTGTCCATTTCATAATGTGTGACGTCATTTGTTTACATTTGATACACCATGAGCAGATATGAATGTACGACAGAAATTAATAGAAGATTGAAGTTCAAATACAGTTAATTCGACCTTGCTAAACGAACGCTCCTCTGTGGCCAAATCGGGTAAAGGCACGTTAAACTAAATGACTGTTCCGTATAAGATGCAGATTCGAATCCTCTCGGAGGACGAATATTTTCTGTGAAAAATTCTCGGACATCCAGGCCGGTAAATGTTGTTTAATACTGTTTATTATAAACAGAGCATTTACTTAAATATTTGTACCTATAAAAAGAATGTATAAACAAAAAATGTCTTAATATATATATATATATATATATATATATATATATATATATATATATATATCCATTCTCCCGTCAGGTTCGACGTATGAGGGTCAAGCAGATCAGTTTCCAGGAAACTGACAGCCCAACACCGGCACATAAGATTTGAATATAGTAGTGAAGGTTTCGTCCAGGACCATCCACACTTTTTGAAGGGCCGAATACAGAGACCTGGTGCACTACGTGCCACAAGGTCCCCAAACAAGCCCCTCAGATTTTGAATTCAGAGTTGTCCTTCTCCTAGACCAGTTGCCATATATATATATATATATATATATATATATATATATATATATATAGGTAAAATGAAATAGAGTATAATTCCTCTTCACGTAACATATAATTTAAAAGTCGGCTCAATACACAGTCGAGCTAAATTCATCTTTTGAAATTAAATTAATCTTCTACTCGATAGTAGTTTAACATCCCCCGAGGATACAAATTTTTAGTGTTGAAACATAATTGTAATTGTGTAGCGATTTTCAACATGTTTTGTTTTAATAACCTAAAGTGAATATATATATATATATATATATATATATATAGTAAATTCATCGTTACCGGATACAGAACGGAACGAAGAAAATATTAGATTGGTATATTGTTGTGCGCCACTCATCTAAAGAGGCCTGCATTTGACCTGTCTTCGAACTATGTCAACTGCAGGCAAGCAAAAAGGTTGCATCGATCTCAGTATCTTCAGCGTAAATGCTGGCAAGCTAACCACACTGTTTTGTGGCTAATTAGTTTTAATTACGACTGTTAATTACCCGTGAGACCACGATCGGCATTATCACTTGATTACTTCTTGGCGAACATAATTGTTACGCTGAGAAAATCGGGCGCCAATGATATTTTTTTTTTTTTTTTTGCCCAAAGGTCAAATAATCACTTCGACTGTGAACAGAAAAGGTGGCTTCCTGACGCAAAACATTAAAAAAACAAAAAAACAAATTGTCGAAAAAAAAAAAACACTGTAGATGAGTAAATTAAATACAAGCGTATGCGTATGATGGACAAAATAGTTCTCGGCCTGTCCAAGAATATTTTCATCAAAACAGTTCTGGTGCTTAGACAATTTTTACGAAATCTGTCGAATCGAAAAGAGCAAGGCGCGAAATTGCCATTTCCAGACACGGACAAATAAACACGTCGAAATCGTAACGTTCTAAACCCAACTACAGACGTATTTATACGTCGATAGATGCTTTTTATGCTGTTTTGAGCTTGAAACGAGTCCGATTGTCAAATCATACGTCTGGTAGAGGTGTTATCCCCCTCTCGGGTACTTCAAGATACCTCATTTTCTTAGTCGGTCTTGATACTTTTTTCATGCCCTTCTCAACTTGAAACGCGTCCAATTGTCAACAACATACATCTGGTAGAATTGTTTGCCCCCTCTCGGATACTTTATTATGAAAATTTATTGGCCAATGATTTTTATTATGAAAATTCATTGCCAATGATTTTTATTATGAAAATGCATTGTCCAATGATTTTTATTATGAAAATGAATTGTCCAATGATTTTTATTATGAAAATACATTGGCCAATGATTTTTATTATGAAAATGCATTGGCCAATGATTTTTATTATGAAAATGCATTGGCCAATGATTTTTATTATGAAAATGAATTGTCCAATGATTTTTATTATGAAAATGCATTGGCCAATGATTTTTATTATTGAACTACTTTGGTCAATGATTTTTATATGAAAACTAAAACGGAATATAAACAGTCGAAACAAAGAAGAAAGTGTGAAAAAAATACGAAAAAAAAAAGAAGATTAATCCAGTAAATACTGCGAAAGAATAATAGGGAAATTGAGAAAACGAAGAATAAAACGGGAAAGAAGGTGGGAGTAAGAATAAACGAAGGAGAAGGAAATAATTCACACAAACAAGAAAGAAAGCTTAGCATATTTTAAAAAATGTAATTTATTCAGTGAAAAAACAAACAGAATTTAAAAGTGAAGAAAAAAGGCGGATACAAACTAAAAAGAAAAAGAACATTCAATTATAACGAAAAGAGAAGGAAAAGGTAAACCATATAAAAAGAAAATAAACAGAAAAAGACGAAACACTAAAATGGAAACTATTCTATTTTTGTAACTACGATAACCGTAGGGTATTAACGATTTTCTTTATTAAGTTTTAAAGCCATCTTCCAGTCAGTTCCAATATTGCTGCTAAACATTACACAACACAAGTTTATTCCACCTGGACGCTACCTTCGTTCGAAGCATCGTAACCAAGACGACATTAATATTCTACTCGGAAGTGATCATTAAACTTTTAAACAAACTAACACATTCGAACAGTCTTTTAAGAGCTTTATTCTTTATAGAATTACAAAGAAATGAATTATATATACCTTCTTTTTTTTAACAATTTTTGATATGCTAGGTTTGTTTCACCGTGAAGAAATTAGTAAGAGTTATAAAATAAAAGAATACATTTTTGCGTACCTTAAAATTACTTTGATGTGGCTAGGGAAAAAGTTTATGATACAAAATCCAATTTTAATTCATACTAACGGCTTCGAAGTATAGACTCATATTTTCTTTTTGAAACATAGCCCAGAAACAATAATAGTAAAAGTTAATATAATTAATAGAAATGCCATTGTGATGTGTAAAATCTTCTCCGATGTGGCGAAGACATCAAAAATAAAAAGTTTTACGGCTGAAAAGATGGAGCCATGTAGTCTAATATTAATTTATGACTTCTGCACAGGGAATCGTTAGCTAATCGGTTTGTGGTATTTCAGCACTTACTGATTTTATACTTAAAGCCTTATGTTATAATGGCTCTCCACGTCTTCTTATATTTTCTTGCCACAAATAACTTTTTAATGATTTTTTAAAATCGGTATTTTTTTATTTATATGCATATCTCCACTATATAAAAAAAAACAGTTGATACAACTGGAGGCTAAACTTGTACTGACTTTGAAGATTAAACTACTAAATAAATACGAGTGAATTCCTCTAGGTAATTATAGCTCACGACATTGTATTCATTAAAATTTCACTAGTATTTAGTCTTCAAGGTCATGTCTAGTTTAGACTTTACTTGTATCAACTCTTATATTTATGTTTAGCTGGCCACCCGTATTCGAGGATACCCGACTAATAGGGCGGTTAGCCAATCCCTATTGCAGGCGCTTGCTCAGGCGCATTTGTGTTTATTCAACACCCACAGAGCCCAACTGTGGTTTCTACTGCAACTATCCTAAGCAGACCTTAGTTACAGTTTCTGGGAAAGAGCTTGTTATCTAGCGTGATCAAAAATTTGAACAATGTCAGACTAGTGACTTAGTGCTAGAACAGCTATCGATGGCCTCTGAGGGTTCCGTATATCCAGTTTAGCTCATAAGGCTTGGGTCAACCAGTTTTCAGTCACTTTCCAAAGGTGTTACGTGCTGGAATCGACCCCTCCAGACCGATAACATCAGGAAGTCTCCTTCCTGACAAAACGACAATGGTGAGATTCGAACCCGGGTCTCGTGTAGCCTATTTTGGATTCGAAAAAAAAAAAGAAAAAAGAACCATTTCGACCCAATTCACCAGTCAGCCACTTAGCCTCCGAGAGATACCAGAAGAATCCATGCGTGTAACTATCCTGACCTAAGGAACTTTTCGCGCGTCAACTGCTGACTCAAATATCAACATTATTCTCTCAAACTTCACTTACAACTTTGTAAGAAAAGTGTTCTTACACACTACCAAAACAGAAATTGTACTTAACAAAAGATAAATACAGAACAAGCCAAGGTAAACAACTCTAGAAAATTTAAGACATTTATACTCTATTTTAATCACGCACACAAACTACACTAATTTCTGTATAAGTAATATTTTTCCATTTTACTTCATTTTACCTGTTCTTAAACTCATGAACAATTACGAACTGTAAATCAATAAGACATCAAATTTATACATGGTCAATTCTTGAATTAGCAAATTACAAGTTGTATGTAAATTGTACATAATGTCTGTTGTTTTTATTGGAACTTATATTACCGTTGTTTCTTAATCAATTGCCTTGTGATTGATTCGTTTTGAATGCCCATATTTTGTATTGTTGTGGATCAATATGGTGAACATGCCCATAATCTAGCCATCTTAATGTTTTAAACTTCTGATAACGAAATCAAACTCATACCAATCCCAACACATTTATATATTCTTTTCCGAAATATACAATAGCAAAAAGATGATCAATTTTCCTTGAAGTGAAGTTAAAATAATTAATGTTTTAGTATGATGTTAATTTTGTGAACACACTTTATGACGGCCAGCCTAATGTGCTTCTGAATTTTTAGACAAAAGCTTAGTGGGTGGTTGCTGGTTAATCCTTTCTATTGTGTGCGTGAAATAGGCCTCGGTCGGGGCTACCGTCTGTCTCTCTTATATTGTGTGCTGTTGATGCGTTTTTGTGCACGCACGTGTAGATCAAACTTGCCTCCGTAATTGTGTTGAACCTCGAGAAGTACGCTTCAATTTTTATATCAGTAAAGTTATTCAAAATGCAATTTCACATAGAGGTGTAGACTTTTTGAATTCATTATTTCACACTGGCTAGTGAAGATCTTTTTCTTGAATTGGCGGGAAAGCTGAAAGGTGGTGTTATTTGTATTTTCTAAACCATCCAAAAATAACAAATGGTAGGTTTACAATTACGTCCGTAAGTATTTTGGCGGCATTTGCTCTTGTAATTATTGTTTATCAATCAAAATTTCTGACTGGATATTATTGATTGAATAAATATACATAGGAGTTAATTCCTATATGCTAAACATATACAAAACAAAAATACAGAAAGATTTTATTTACAATATATACCAAAATACATACAAATGGAAAAAAATATTCTATTATATGCTGGCTTTTGGTTGTGGGTTTTCGGTGTCGTCGGCTGAGGCGTGGTACCAGGTAACCGGTAGAGTTGTTTTTTTTTGTTGCTCTTTTTTTGTTGTTTTTTTTTTAAACAAAATATGGTGAGTTTTGTCTGAATTGTTTGTGTGTGTGTTTTTTTTTTTTTTTTTTTTTTACTTCTCAAGAATTATTCGGCATTTTTTGTAACGAGATAACATTTCTTTTCTTCTCGGCAGGTTTGGGGAGTAAACAAAGTCAATTTCCTCTTGGTAGACATTTTTTTTTTAAAGAAACATTTCAAAGACACAAAGACTGAAAGTTTGTCGTAATGATGTTGATCGACATTCAGGCACCCGGGGGAATAGTAACGCTGCCTGCAGCTGGGGCGTAAATTGTCGAACACCAATGTCGTACAACACTCACGCTGCGAGACGCGGGGCCGTCATGGGCAGACGGCCACACATACCACTTCGCCCTCGTGATCGTAAAGCGGAATAGTCGTATAGCTCGTAAGTCGACGACGACCTGTAAATTCTTATTTATAGCCGACTAGCAGTATAACCCGTTTCGACCGGATGTTCCTTTACTCGGAATTTTTATCTTTCATTCTAAGTTTAAAGTTAGCCCACCCGAAAATCAATCGGGTGATACACATTCTCAAATGGGTGTGTGTGTTGGGGGGGGGGTTAACAATTTGAATGGAATATGGCTCTGAAAAAGGCTCTTTTTGCATTGTCAATATTGCAAGGAAGGGATTTCTTCCATGGACGATCATAATAATAATATACGATAATTTTTATTCTTAATATATTTTTTTTTTATAATTCTAAGAATATTTTGAGTTAGACTTCAATTCTCTAAACTGACTGTCTGCTGTTTTTACAGACATTAAATGTTGCCTTTGATTTTTGTGAAAAGTGTAAAAAAATCAGTTTTTTTGATTTTTCACCTTCAAGGTTGTGATTTTTTTCCAAACAATTTGGACTCAAAACTGGCACTGAAGAAGCATCTATCAAACAAAAAAAAATTAATCGAAATCGGATGAAAACTATGAAAACGCATAAACAACATCCGATCACATAACACACACACACACACACATACTTACACACACATTTTGAGAATTGTAAATATAGCAAAACCCATTTAAGAAAGACTTAATGTTATGTAGTACGAAAAGGTTTTTCTTCCTCCGTATGAGAACGAATCCCTTGTCGCCAAAGTTGTTATAGAGTAGTTTCACAGTGGAGGCTTGTATTTCACTATGTCGGTCCTAAAAAGGTTCGACGTACAAAATGTTAGGAACTTGATATAATAGTTAATGACGCAGCAATCTAGTTGTGGTGGCTGATACTATAATGTCCGACATCAACTGACTCACCAACTCACTGAGCGACTATTACTACTACTCCTACTTATTATAGGTGGGAAAGTCTATTAACAGTAGAATAGGTGTATTCCAGTATAACACTTAATTTAATTCAAATGTAACAACTACAAATAATATAATTCAGTCTGTATTATACGCACAATGTCGAAGCCCAAATTTAGAGATGCATACTATAGGAGTGCGTATTATACAAGAATAATTGGAAGTGATTGTGAACGGATTGTTTGACCCTGTAAAGGTCAGCTTTGTTAAAGTGTCCTACCTAATTTATATTTACGCAAAATACCACAAAATATGAAACAATAAGAATGAACACAAAAACTGTTTTTTACAATAACAATATTAATATTTATATATGTCAATGATATACAAGCATAATTAATAGGAGTTACTTCCCTTTGTATGGAATTAAAGTCTTTACTAAGGAAATATTTTTATCTGAGGTCATAGAAACTTGAATGAACTTGCCGCTCAAAATACTGACCGTGAGAGAGTTGAAAGAAATTTGTAAAGTTTAGAATAGGTTGATAAAGTTTCAGCTTCAGAAAAGTTGAAGGAGCGAATGTTCTGTAATGCTTGTAACTAAGTTTCTTTTGCTTGTAATGTTTAAGTTTCTGTTGCTAATAATGTTCTTTAATATTCTGTACGTACGTGCATGTGTGTGTGTGTGTCTCTCTCTCTCTCTCTCTCTCTCTCTGTGCGTGTGTGATGGAGTTTCATAGCGTTCGCCCGAAGTAGGTCGAAACGCTTTTTCTTGAAGTCCTATATTGTTCGCAGGCAAGAGAAATTAAAAGAGGAAGAACGAACTTGTGTCAAAGCGTTTATAACAAACGTGGTCACGTGATAGGCTCTGGGAGGCATAGATAGATTTTAGCGGAATTGTTTTTTTGTTCAGGTCAGGAACTAGGTTGATATTATTTGGACGTAGTTGAGAACATGATTTCAATATTAACTGACCAATGAGAAGTGAAAAAATATCAAAGCTGTGTGATCCACTTTTTGCGCAGAATTTGGCATTGAAAGAAAGTGGTAGCAGGATGCTATAGTGCAAACAAGTTATCGACTTTGGTTTGTGTCAATCTAACAAGTAGAATTAAACGAATGCCACTGACACTTATCGTTAGCTTTTCTGAGTCCCTTCCTTGAACCGCAACAGTTGACAATGAGAATTGATGCAATTTACGAACACCATATCATCCGACGCCATATTGAATTTGTGACTTGTCATAACATTAGGCTGCTTAGTGTCCCAAGTCTCGGCGGTAATAAACGTGGATATAATATGTGGAATGGTGACGAGGAGACAAAAGGACGATATCAGTATGAAGAAATAAAGGAAAAAGAAAATAAAAAAGAAAAGAATCGAATGAAAGAAGGAAGGAAGGAGACTTTAAAAGAAAGAAACATAAAAAGGAAAACGAAAAATTAGAAAAGGAATTGAAGAAAGGGGGAGAAGAGTAAAAGAATGAAGGATAAACAATAAGAAAAACAAAAAAAAAACGAAGAAAAGAGTGGAGGGGGAGAAAGAATGAAAACTGAAATGAAGAAAGGAAGGGAGAAAGAAGAAAGAAGAAAAATGAGAAAAAGAAAGGAGACAAGAAAGAAGAAAAAATGAAATGAAGAAAGAATGAAAACTGAAATGAAGAGAAGAGGGAAAAAAGAAAAAGAAGAAAGAACTGAAATGAAGAAAAGAGGTAAAAAAGCAGAGACAATGAAAACTGAAATGAAAATAACAGGGAAGAAAAGAGGAAGAAGAAAAAACTGAAATGAAGAAAGAAAGGGGGAAAGTAAAATAAAAGAAAAAAATGATATGAAGAAAGGAGACAAAGAAGATGAAAAACTGAAATGAAGAAAAAGGGGAGAAAAAGAAAAAAGAAGAAAAAACTGAAATGAAAAACGGAGGTAAAAAAAAGAGAGACAATGAAAACTGAAATGAAATAAGAGGGAAGAAAAGAGGAAGATGAAAAAACTGAAATGAAAAAAGGATGGAAGAAAAGAGAAAGAATGAAAACTGAAATGAAGAAAGGAGGGAACAAAGGAGAAAAAAGAAAAACTGAAATGAAGAAAGGTGGGAAGAACGGTGAAAGAATGAAAACTGAAAAAAAACTGGTTGAAAAATGAAGAAAAGATAGAAAGTAAGAAATTTTTTTTTTTTTTTGGAAAGGGAAAAACAAAGAAAAGTAAAATAACTGAAAAAAGAAAAAGAAAAGCGGAATCTGAAATATAGGGGAAAAATAGCAGTGAAAAGTTGAAAGCGTGGAAGAAACCAAAAAAATAGACAGGAATAGAGAAAGAAAGAAGAAAGAAAGGAAAGAAAGAATAAAAGAAAGAAGAAAGAAAGAAATGAATTATGGATTGCAAGAAGAATTTGAAGAAAGAAAAATAGAAAAGAAAATGAAAAACTGAATAAAAAATGAAGGAAACTGAAGAAACGAAAATAAACCAAAAAGAAGTGCAGGCCTCTGCAATTTAGCTAACTGCCTTAAGAGACGTGCATAGTCGAATACGAGTGGCAATCCATCCATATATATATATTTATATATATATATATATAAATATATATATATATATATATATATATATATATATATATATATATATATATATATATATATAAGAGGTTAATGGTCAGAGTTGTATTAGATCATGGCACAGTGGTAATCAAAAATGCCCATTACACGTGCGAAAAAATAAAATAAAAATAACATGTAGAGATTTTAACTTTAAAAATAAGGAGGTCAGTTGAATCTGCTACCTGGGTTTCAATCTTACGGTATCCTCAGGTGATTTTTATCAAATGGATCTTAACGCTTTATGTTTTAAAATCTAATGAACGCTATATTATTTCTAAAAAAATAAATAAACAAACGCACAACGTCGGGTGTGATAGAAAGAGAGGAGGCGAAGAAGAAAGAAGAAGAAGAGTAGTAGTAGTAATAATAATAATAATAATAATAATAATGTATCGGTGTGGGGTTAATTGAAATGTACATACTATTTTTTATATCCTGCCTTATTTGAGCTTAAGAGGAAATTTTAAAATATATCTGCAAGGACTCAAGACCTCGTATTTTCTGGTTCAAAAGGGTCTTTGGAACCGGAAATGTCATTATTGCTATATTTTTCTGTTCACAGAGGTTACAAATATTGTTGTGGTCGGCAAAAGTCTTCGCAAAAAATCATAAAATAATGCTTTGGGAGGTCAACTGCTTAAAAATCGTCTGAGGGAACCGTAAGTTTGAAACCAAGGCAACGAATTCATATTAGTGGTTAACACACACATGCACACACACACACACACACACACATATATATATATATATATATATATATATATATATATATATATATGACGCCACGCACTACGAAATGGATAGAGGCCGACAATTATTTTATGGTTATACCTTATTTATATAAACACAAATATTTAATTACATGTTCTGTTTATAATAAACAGTATTAACAACATTTACCAGCCTGAACGTCCGAGAATTTTTTTATGGAAAATAAGTGTCCTCCGACAGGAATCGAACCTGTATCCCACACGGAACCGTCATATAGCCTGACGTATTATACCAGTTTTGCTAGAGAATGGCGCCTGGTTAGCAAGGTCGATAAATTATTATCAAAAGAGCATTTACTTTTATATATATATATATATATATATATATATATATATATATATATATATATATATATATATATATATATATATATATATATATATATATATATATATATATATATATATATATATATATCCAAGAGGATAGAATCCAGGTAGAACTCAATGTCCAGGACAGAGTAATAATATAATAAAAAGGCTCAAAGACTAATATCCCATGGTCATAATTTATTCCATTGAAATATTAATCAGGATCCAATTTATCAGACCTACAAATTCAAAAAGAAATCGGGAAAAATAACGCCGGGAATAAAAAACAAAATTTAGTGAGTATATATATATATATAGAGAGAGAGAGAGATAGATAGATAGATAGATAGATAGATAGATAGATAGAGAGAGAGAGAGAGAGAGGGAGGAGGAGGAATGAAACAAACAGACAGACAAGAGGAAAACTATTATTATCCCCGTGTTTCGTTCCAGGATGGATTTTATCAAGGTGAGCGAGTAATATTCGAGAACTCTTGCTTTATATTACTCGTTGACTTTACTATTTGACAGACTTTGAATTATGGCACCTCTGGTCCTCCATATGTCATGGCTGACCATTCAACCACCTAATGAACAATTCATGAACGTTCCCAAAGTGTCTCGACAAAGTAATGACAGTCTCGCCTTTGTATGTAAACTCGTGAAACATAATAAATCCTACATTACTTTGATGAAGTCCCCCAGAGCAAGAAACTTGTCGGCTAAGAATTGTTTGGCTGTTGTATCATTTTATTCATTATATCTCCTCTACTATTCTTACTGAAAATATTCACACACACGAGTTTACTTAATGAACAAAAATCAAACGAATAGATGTCAACCTAACAAGCAATAAGATAAAAGTTTTAGTGGAATAAAAATGATTACTAAATATAAAATGGATTACTCTTTCAATGTTCTGTCTATGAATTTTTCCAATCGACTGTTTCATAGAAAATACCCAAAACTCCACCGAATTTCAAATTAATTCCTTCGTAGATTGTTTTAACATTTAGATATTTATCAAACCTTAACCTCCCAAATATGCACGTTAAAGTAACGCGAATTAACAGCGTCTAAGAATTTGAATGAAACCTGTCGTGTAATTTATTGGGGTTGTTGTAACTTCTTCCTTTAATGTCGTTCTTATCATTCACCCCTTAGCCACCTATATCTAGAGACGAGACGCGTTAAATTTGAGCAACATCTAGCCGACACACTGGGGTTAAAAATAGGAAACTGAAATGATACATATGACACACTCAGATCCTCTTTCCCACCCCATTTTCTCATTTGGTTAATTTTACGTATACTTGATGAGGTCCGTAAAAAACGTATGAATTTCTTTTCATTTTTCATTTCAGCTTTTGGAAGTAAAGTCTGATGATCCAGAACCCTGTTAAAGGGGTTATGGTGAAAGAGCTTATTACATGGAATCTTAACGTGGTCTGTCTTTTATTCAAACATATCTGCTCTGAATTTTACATTGAGCTCTCTGGATATCATCCTCCTCGGGTCTACCCATACGGATTACCTAAGTTTTCATAAACTATATATATATATATATATATATATATATATATATATATATTTACAAAATTTGGGGGTCGACTCCTCACATCAAAACAAGGACATACGTTCGTATAAACATACATCCTTGTCCAAATTAATTGAAACAATCGCTTTAGTTTCCTTCCTTTCATCATGACCCAATGGAGTGACAGGGTGTAATCGATTTAACTTTAGGTCATTTGCTGTGGTATTCAGAAATATGAATCTATTTTCGGGGTGTCTAATGAAATTTTTGTCCTTGAGAAATATTGCGTCACCCGGGATTGCATCAGATTTTTATAACGCCCAGTCACTACTCTTTCGACTGTCGATTAGTTGTCCTACGGCCTTTGTTTGCGTTTTTTGAGTTATTAAATTTATAGAAAGTTTATGGTAGAATAAGGAAAACGCTTCCAAAGTCCGTAAAAGTATTTTTCAGGTTTGTGTCTTGAACTGCACATTTAACAGCGTCTACCGTAAACTTATTTAAATTTAATAAATCAAAAACAAAGGAATTACAGATATGTGTTTATATGGACTGTTGTCCTTGTTTTGGTGTGAGGAACCCGCTCCCAAAGTTTGTAAAAGTATTTTTGATACATCCTGTTCACACACACACACACACACACGAACACACACATACACACACACACATATATATATATATATAATTAAAGATATTTTTGTAGGTAGAAAATTTTATGATCGAAATAAAAGTGTAGAATTTAATATTACGAGACATTAAAAATGGGCGAAGCAACCGGTTTCGCTCCCGCTCTTCAGGCTTCAACGGGAGATTTAATTTAAATTAAAACAACAGAAAATGTACAATAAAAAGGAAGTTGTGGAGGTGAGGAAAAAAATTGAGCAAAAGTAACTAGAGACAAATGACAGCGAGCCCCAACAAACACGTTGTTTACACAAAGAAGGCTTGCGGGACCCGATGTAATATACATATATATATATATATATATATATATATATATATATTTTTTAAAAACAAGGAAAATGTTTGTCTCATCCAACATCTCATCAGAAGTAAATCGTTGGCAATAACTTAAACAAAAGAACACTAACACCGAAAATATAGAGCAAAAAAGGGGAACACGGGAGTATATATATATATATATATATATATATATATATATATATATATATTGATGCATGTTTCATTAAATAATATGAACAAGTTTTGTCTATTTTAAGTAAATCCATTGCATATTGTCTGATAAACTTCATAACATTATCATTGAAAGATGAAAGAAAATCACCATATTGATACATGTTTTTTAATCCTATCTAAGCTTTCGGCTGAACATAAGCCATTATCAAAGAGGACAATCACATTTCAATATATTAAGCAATACACGGGAAAAACAATACTGATAGTCTATTTTTGTTGCATGAAAATTTTCCAAGCAACGACAAACTCGTGTACACGAGACGCGGAAGCAAAAATCTCGTTGCAGCACGTGACGTCACACATGACCACGCGAGAGTAAAAACGAAAATTGTTATATATATATATATGCGTGTGTGTGTGTGAGAGAGAGAGAGAGAAAGTGAGAGTGTGTGTGTGTGTGTATTTATATCGAGAGAACGAGAGAAGGGGAAATCACGTGTAAATACCATTAGCTGGGGACAAATTAAAATAAAATATCCCCCAACAAATTAAGAGACTTGATAAAATCCTTCTGCCAGTTGAGAGAAGGTCTGCGCAGTGATATAGAGACTGATTCAAAAATCTGTAAATAATTATTGGAAACAGTTCTATGAATAACTCTAAACCACTCTTTCCTATAAGACTTGGCACATGGTATATTTTCCATTAAATGTTGTGCAATAGCAGATTCCAAATTCGAAGAGGGAAGTTAAACATGTTACTTATTTTGCCTGGACATTGAGTTCTACTTGGATTCAATCCTCTTGGAAATTTTTATTTATATATATATATATATATATATACATTAAGAATTAGAGAAAGTCCGACAATTTATTAAAGACATTCTTATGTTTAACATTCTTTTTATAGATACAAGTATTTAAGTAAATGCTCTGTTTATAATAAACACTATTAAATAACATTTACCGGCCTGAATGTCCGAGAAATTTTCATCTTTGACAGGATTCGAACCTGCATCCTATACGGAACCGTCATTTACGTTGACGTGCCTTAACCGACTCGGCCACAAAAGAAGCGTTCGGTAGGCAAGGTCGAATTTACTGCTTATAAACTTAAATCTTCCATGAATCTCGTACATTCATAACTGCTCATGGCGTATCAAATGTAAACAAATGACGTCATACATTAAGAATTGGACAAAGTCCGACAATTTATTAAAGACATTATCAGGCCGGTAAATGTTATTTAATACTGTTTATTATAAACAGAGCATTTACTTAAATACTTTTATCTATAACAAAAATGTTAAACATAAAAATGTATAATATATATATATATATATATATATATATATATATATATATATATATATATATATATATATATATATATATATATATATATATTGTTATTTAAGTAAATGCTCTTTTGATAATAATTTATCGACCTTGCTAACCAGGCGCCATTCTCTAGCAAAACTGGTATAATACGTCAGGCTATATGACGGTTCTGTGTGGGATACAGGTTCGATTCCTGTCGCAGGGCACTTATTTTCTATAAAAAATTCTCGAACGTTCAGGCTCGTAAATGTTGTTAATACTGTTTATTATAAAGAGAGCATGTAATTAAATATTTGTCTTTATATAAATAAGGTATAACAATAAAATAATTGTCGGCCTTTATCCATTTCGTAGGGCGTGGCGTCTTGATTTGTATCCTTTAGTCGATATTAAATTTGTCAAATTTTCTCACTTACAAAGCGGCCCTTTAAGTAAACGCAATTTTACTTTCCTTCGTCCCATCTCTCTCCCTCACCTCGTCTTTCCCTCCCTCTTATTCTAACATTAAATTGTCTATGGTGTATGTATGTCACCACGAAATGTATCTTTATGCATTAGACATCCGTCAACATTCATTCTTTTCTCTTATTTAAACCCCTTCCAACCATCTTTCCTAAAATTCTCTCTGTTAAGGTTTAATCTCCCTCTTCCTCATGCTTACACTTTCTCTAAATTCTGTTTTTATTTCCGGAGTTGGTTTTTCTCTTTTCTTTTTGAATTTGTAGGTCTGATGAATTGGATCGTATTTACGATTCCAATGGAATAAATTATGACCATGGAATATTAGTGTTTAAGCATTTTTACTATATATATATATATATATATATATATATATATATATATATATATATATATATATATAAAAATCTGTTAATATGTATTTCTATCCGTTTATTCTTACAAAACAATTATTCAATCATACAAATAGACTTATCCTAAAATAATTGTCATTTTTCAAAGAGAATAAAGTTCGCGTCATCTGTTTTATTCATCTTTTCCGTCATCATCTTCGTTCTGTTTTCCCGCCACTTATTCATTGTTTCTTTCCCTCATTCTGTTCGGTCATTTTTTACCCATTATCCTCTACGTTCATATTTTTTCCCACTTCCTTCATTTTTCGCGAGATGCTCTTTGATCTTCTTCATAATGAAAGTGCCGGAGAATCCATAAATTTGGTTAAGTTGCCCAGAAATACGAAATATTATTGCCGTCATTACAAGGAAATGCTGAAAATTTCTAGCTTCGACACACTTTCCAAAATCGATTTTATAACAGCTATACAACAGAACAATCATTTGTGACAGTGGTTCGAGCCAAAGTTTTTTTCAGCACCCCTTATGGCAGCATTTATTTTTTTACGTGTGTTTATTTTTTTTTTGTCTTTTCACATGTTTGTTAACACTTATCTCAATATATTTTTCCGAAATATATAGTATACGGCAGAAATAAAATAAAACAAAAAAACATGAAAAAAAAAAAATCATTTATAAAAGAATCGAAGGAAGAAAAATCGATCAGTTTGATATGCTAAGATGAGTGAAAATCGATGGCAAGAACTTTCAATTAAACCAGGTATTATAAATGATATATTACGCCCAGAGCTGAAGAAAAAAAAAACTCATCATGGCAATAGCTCTACAAAGAAGTAGTACTTCCTATCTTGAAGAATACTAGACAAGAATTACAAAATTTTCAAAGAATATAATACTTCAGAAAAAAATGGTTCCATACCAGATCAAAAATCATATATACATGAATCTGCTATATATATATATATATATATATATATATATATATATATATATATATATATAAAACATGTATATAACATTAAATATATATATATATTAAACTTATATATAAAATTAAATATATATATATATATATATATATATATATATATATATATATATATATATATATATATATATTAAGCATTGATTGATTACAAGCAACAATGTCCGTACGTTTAATTCTTAGCTGAATTTTTTCAAGCTTTTTGAATAAAATGTTATATATGGCGATCACGATTTTTGCATAAACTTTCCGAAGTTCATGTTTGTTCTGTTGTCTTTGTACAAGGACTTCTGACTGTCTTAGACATTTACAAGAACAATGTACAGAATCAAGAGTGTCTGTCTTCCTGCATGTTATATATCTACACACACGCACACGCACACACACACACACACACACATATATATATCCGCGTCTCGCGAAGGACGCTCTTGCTAACAAACAGTAATTTTAATTTATTTGTAACAAACAGTTACTTCTGATGAAAAATTGAGGACAATTTGAAATATCAAATATATATATAAATAAATAAATACTTTCATAAAATAAAACATTATTTTTTAATTTGAAACTTTTTCTATATATATATATATATATATATATATATATTGAATAATATGGACATGTATCTGCTTATTTTTATACTGTGCCTTTGCCATATGATTGTATAATTCAATGGAACATGTAACATATTTGAATGAAGTTATGCTGCAAATATATATATATATATATATATATATATGAAAAAAATATAGTTTGCTATATTTATGGGATAAGGTGCTCAGTATCAGAGATAGAGCGTATATAAATATAAATATAAAAGTGGATACAGAAGTTAACACTCAGAGGCGACAGGCTGTGCCATGCTGGATACAATCCTCATGCGTCCTGACAAATGCGTCCAGCACAAAGCAGCCTGTCGCCTCTGAGTGCTGTCTTCAATGTTCATATATGCACCAAAAATCAGGAGATCAATTGAATTCGTTACCTTGGTTTCAAACTTACGGTACCCTCAGACGATTTTTAAGCAGTTGACCCCTCCCAAAGCATTATTTTTGTTATTTTTTTTTTTTATAAGGGCGAAGACTTATGACTGCCACAACAATATTTGCAAACTCTTTCGACATAAGAAAATAGCAATAATGATATTTCTGGATAGAAAGACCCTTTTGAACCAGAAAATACGAGGTCTTGAGTCCTTGCAGATATATTTAAAAATTCCTCTTAAGCTCAAATAAGACAGGATATAAAAAATAGTATGTACATTTCAACTAACCCCACACCGATACATTATTATTATTATTATTACTACTACCACTACTACTACTACTACACACATACACACACACACATGTGTCACAAGGCCGATTGTCTGTAGAACCGAATGAGGATCGAACACACAATTCTGTTGTAACGGATCTATATTTTATAACTGACTCGTTCATTACGGCTTTTCACCCACTCTGCAGGTTTCGTCCCGGGTATGACGATAAACTATATCTGCGTCGAGGGTATGACGATAAACTACATCCGTGTCCAGGTTATGGCGATAAACTACATCCGCGTCCATGCTATGACGATAAACTAGGCCCAACAGCAAGGCCTCTGATAATACGTTTTTGAAAAAAATAATGTTGCCAGCTATACCTTTTTTTTTTGGCAAGAATAATGTTGCCGGCTATACGTTTTTGGAAAAATAATATTACCTGCTGTATGTTGCGGAAAAATAGTATTACTAGCTATATGTTTTTGAAAAATAATATTTCCAGCTATACATTTTTGAGGAAAAACATATTAAAAGAATTAGATTTTTTTGTCAAAACAATAATATTACCAAAAAAAAAAAAAAGTTGTCGGCATTAAATGACCCATTGAGGTTGATGTGCTGTAAAACAAACCAAACTAAACCATCAGCAGGTTATTTAAACGTTGATTCAACATGATTTGACTGTATGCCCTAATTGATCTAGAAAGTTAAGCTTACTAACATTACATCAAGTTTAATTGTTCAAAATATATGTGTGTGTGTCTGTGTGTTTGCTTGTGTGCGTGTGTATTTAGGCAGCAAATACTCCGTTAGGCATATCTGTTTAAATAAATTACGGACTTTATTCCTGCTTATTTTTAACATAATCCGTCCATACTAACGATTAACGTTCCGTGTATTGATGATAGATGATGTAAGAAATGTGCTATAACTGTGAAAATCGCTTTTATTTCCAAAGTAATTTCGATCTTCTTCCGAGATCATCTTCGGTGGTGCAAGTAGTAATATAAAACTTAGTGTTGCTCTCCAATACAGTAATTTTTTTCTTTCTGCGTCTAAATACAATAGATGACAGCCATGCTTAGCGTTCATTAGAACGTGAAAAAATTATCCACTATGGAATTGTTTCTTCTGTGTTGTAATGTCCTGGTCATGAATACATTAAAGCGTGAAAATTCTTCCGTTTCTTAGTGAACATTACTACAATACTCGTAGCTGATTCTATTAAGTTTCGGTTGTAATTTTTTAATGTAGATTGCTTCGAGGATCTGTAGTTTGAATTTGTTATTTTCTTGTTGTAGGACAGTTGTGTTGTCGATCAGTATTTTTCTATACTGTGAATGTGGACAGAAATGTTGGTGTAGATGTCTTGCAGTGGACGAATGGTGAGACATGTGTAATGTAAGGCGCCCTGTTAATATATTTGTCGTATATCCAACATAAATATTTGTTTTTCTGTCGGAGATACATTCTCCAAAGGACATTTGAATTGATATGCAATGTTGGTTTTACGTAATAAATCAATTGGTAGGGAGGAGTTATTTCAAATAATTAAATTGGTTTTGTTATTTTTTTTAATGATATATGATTAATTTTATTTTTTGTTGGGTTCTTTGGGAGATATATTGGTATGATAGAGTTTTTTTTTAATGATTTTCTCATCCTGTTGTAGTTAGCATGCAACATAGGAGTTTGATATAGGAGTTTCATATATTTAGGGTCCTTTGAGTAAGTACCATATTCTGTTTGAAGGGTGCTGTGGTTTTGATATATCAACTTATTTGTTCATCAAATAAGACGATATATAAAAAAGCTCAACACACGTCAAAATAGAATATGGTAGATAGATAGATAGATAGATAGATAGATAGATAATGAACGGTTGGGACAGAATATATATATATATATATATATATATATATATATATAGAGAGAGAGAGAGAGAGAGAGAGAGGGAGGGAGAGATCGGCATAGATACATAGATGTGAATATAACAACACTTAGAACTCCATAGATGATATTTTATTTCATTGAAGTCGATAAACATGTCTTTTGACATAGAGCTCTCAATGGATTTATATCCTCTTGGAAATACATACGAATTGAATAATTTTTAATAATTTTATTATATATATATTTTTTTTATATATATATATATATATATATATATATATATAGTTAAATTCCCTGATCAAATCTGTGGACAAGACAAATTGGTATAGAATGACAAATGGAGAAAACATTTTTTGATTTTGCCGACGCGTTTCGTCTTCCGATTTTTTCAACTGTAATGTCGACATGGGAAAACCCTAACTCTAACCCTAACCCTAACCCTGTCTGTTCTACAAATACTTTCATGGATATTGCTCCGAGGAGCTGCATTCGCTGGTTCCCAGACGTCATGAGTTCCAGCGCCTTACGAGGCTGGCATCCCTTCACTGTCGAAACTCTTAAATGTAGCCGTCTCTTCTACTCTAATAGCTTCATGTCTCGCACCTCTCGCCTGTGGAACTCCCTTCCCTTCTCCTGTTTCCCTGTGAGCTATAATCTCCAGCTATTCAAGTGTAATGTCAATCGACATCTCCAGTTGCCTTGATCTATCCACTACCCTCATCCTTTCTTCTATCACTCCTATCTGATCTTGTTATTTCCTGTAACCCCTTGTATCCTAGTGGGCTTCCCGCTTGCTCGGGGAGAAACCTTAAAATATATATATATATATATATATATATATATATATATATATATATATATATATATATATATATATATATATATGGTGTGGCAATTAGACCACTATACAGTTCATAAAAGCAGATGACTTGTATTTCGAACAGTATCGGTAAATAATTTACTATTGTTTACCAAAGCATTTTATTGTTATTAACCAGAATTAACCAGAACAATTTTACTAATAAATTTCTGTACTGTTGATTAATTTCGTTGCGTTAATTGTAAGTAACTTTATATATCCATCTATCTATCTATCTATCTATCTATCTATATATATATATATATATATATATATATATATATATATATATATATATATATTCATTAATGCGAGAGAGTATGTGTTTTAATGTATACTTCAGCAGCAACATTTCTTTTAGAGATTCCTTTAAATATGACGGACAAGGAATATTTTATAATTTTTCTTTTTTTCATTTTTCCAATATTACTCTATTTTTCCATGTGGTGAGAGGACTTTTCCTTCCACACACACACACACACACACACACACACACACACACACACGCACGCACACATATATATATATATATGTGACTACAAAAACTGTCCATACCGTCCAAGCCTTTTCGGCCACTTCCTTAGCCATTTTAAAAGGTGGGGTTGTGTGTGGCTAAGGAAGTAGCCCAAATTGCTGGGACAACAGACGGTATTGACAGTTTCATAATCCCCCCCATATATATATATATATATATATATATATATATATATTATATATATATATATATACACACATATATATATATATATATATATATATATATATATATATATATATATATACAGAGGTATATATGTGTATGCGTGTCTATATATATATATGTGCGTGTGTGTGTATTTTAGACTATATTCGTTAATTTCATTATCCTTGGGTGTCAAGTTTAATTTTTAGTGATACGGGTCAGGTAGAATAACAGTAATATAGAAATTATTAGCATAAGAAAGAATAAAGAGATTTCAATTCAAAGAAAGGAAAGAAAAGAAGAAAGATCGATTCAAAAGAAAGAAATTAGAAAGAAAAAAATGATTAAATTAGAGAGAAAAGGAAGAAGTAAAAAGAAAAGTTTGAAAGAAAGAAAGAATTTGAAAAGACAGAATGTAAAAGTTAAGCCGACAAATTAAGGAAAGAAAGAAAGAAAGAAAGAAAGTACGAACGAAAGAAAGAAAGAAAGAAAGAAAGTACGAACGAAAGAAAGAAAGAAAGAAAGTACGAACGAAAGAAAGAAAGAAAGAAAGTACGAACGAAAGAAAGAAAGAAAGAAAGAAAGAAAGTACGAACGAAAGAAAGAAAGAAAGAAAGAAAGTACGAACGAAAGAAAGAAAGTACGAACGAAAGAACGAAAGAAAGAAAGTACGAACGAAGGAAAGAACGAAAAGAAAGAAAGTAAGAAACGAAAAAGAAAGAAAGAAAGAAGAAAGTACGAACTAAAGAAAGAAAAAGAAGAAAGAAAGTACGAACGAAAGAAAGAAAGAAAAGTATGAACGAAAGAAAAGGAAAGAAAGAAAGAAAGAAAGAAAAAAGAAAGAAAGAAAAAAAAAGAAAGAAAGAAAGAAAGAAAGAACGAGCGAAAGAAAGAAAGAAAGAAAGAAAGAAAAAAAAGAATGAAAGTATAAAAATTGGGTTTAATAGTAGCAATACATTTTAGAAAAAAAAATTACCAGGAATACATTTTTGAAAAGAATATTACCAGCAATATATTTTAAAAAATAGCAATAATATATTTTTGAAAAAAAATATTACCAACGATACATTTAAAAAAAAATATTACTTGCAATAAAAATCATGTCGGCATTAAATAATACATTCAGGCTGATATACTGAAAAAAAGAAAAGAAACAAAAACAAAAAAAAACAATTTGATACGTCTGATCCGTCATGTTCCTTAGGGATTCTTGACTGTAGTAAAAAGATGTCTTGACGTGTTTAAACTATTGGCGATTCCATTTCGTTTGCTTTCATTTTGTTAATTGATTAATTAAGTCACCAGATCCAATGTTGCAGTTAATCAAGTTTTAGTGACTGTTGGCGGAAAACTTTGTTCCAGTGACAAATTTTTCGACTCCATCATTTCCTTTTCCAATCCGAGGGCTTCAACAATTATTGCAATTAGTGATGCCCTATGTGCCACATCTTTGAGATTTCCATTTCAAGATCCTTGTATTTTTTAAAGATCTTCAAAGATACATGACAATCTGCAGGAACTGATATGTTAATAAGTAAGCGCATTCTGAGTGTGTAGTCTTTGATCACGATGTCTGGGTAATCGCGATGAGATATTATGTACACTATTTATATTGTTCGGACTATTTGTCGCCATATTTATCACAACGTTTCCTTTATTTATAACTGACTGTTCTACGTCCATCAGTTTATCACTTTATCAGTTATCTCCTGTTAATTCCCCTCTACAAGTTCTCCACCGCCTTAACCAGATATTGAACTCACACTCATTGGGTCCTGTCACTGGATCTAACTAACGCCTTTTATCCACTGTGCCATGTGTTCTTGAGAACATCTGTGTATGAATTTCTGGGTATTATAAACCTAATGTCTTCAGCAACCATTTTTTCACCAGTGCTCATATTGCAATTTATTTTATTGTTCTGTCTGTGTGTCTTATAAAGTCCCATAAAATGGTTACAGGTCCTATATGTACAAACGGATTTGGGTGATGTTTATACCGATTTCTAGTAGGTTCTTTTCCGTAAAGGTTTCATATATTTTAGTGCAGATATTGGCCCACTCTTTCATGTCGGATTTTACATTTAGTGGGTACCAGTACCTTGCAACTTGACACAAGATGTTCAAATGTTTCTGGATATTTATCACAGTGTCTTCATTTCAGGTTAAAACAATTATTTATTATATGTGCTTGCTAATTTCTAATTAATAGTAATTGGCCCTTTGTAGCAAGATTAAAAAAAGTAGTAGTAATAGTGATGAAGCCGTTAGATATGCAATTTATTATTATTATTAGTAGTAGTAGTTGTAGTAGTAGTAGTATAGGAGGAGGAGGCACGATGGAGTAATGGATAGCGGCTCGGATTGAGGAATCGGAGAGCTGAGTTCGAATTCCAGTCGAATCCATTACATTCACTTACGTGCTAATACCCTTGGGAAAGGTATGAATTCTCTTCTAGATTTTCCCGGAGGAGTAATGGATAGAGGCTCGGATTGAGGAATCGGAGAGCCGAGTTCGAATTCCAGTCAAATCCATTACATTCACTTACGTGCTAATAACGTTGAGAAAGTTGTTAACCCTCTTCTTTTCCCTCCAGCTATGGGTAAATAGCTGGACAGACTGGGTTCTATAGCCTTTAATGGCAACTGGTCTAGAAGGAGGACAACTCTGAATTCAAACCCGGAGTGGAGCCCCTAATGCGGATGGACGGCATTTTGTGCTACCTTCCGGCAAATCCTGCAGCCGCGCTTGTATCAAACTGTATTGGTTTATCCTCTCCTTTGGACTCTGCTAGCAAGGCCTAGAGGGGGAACTAGATGTCTGGGCAGCCCTAGTTCTCCATATAACCCGCCCAGGCTCGTAGCGCATCGCGCTACTCCATCGTCTCTCGAGACGGTCGGATGCCGACGACGACGCTTCTTATTATTATTATGTATATGTTATGCTTCCTGCTTTGTATCCTGTATTCTTTGTATCCTGTAAAGCCGAGTCTAAACTATGGTCCTTAAGCCCTATAGGAGAATTGTCATTTAATTGATATCACTTTTCTTAGTATTATGGGATGTTCCTAGTAGGGTGATCTTCTGGTCAACTTGTATGTTGGTTGTTAACTGGGACACTGTTAATAAAATTGTCCTTTCCTTTTCTCACGAGGCACAGAGTTCCAATTGCCATTGGTACAGCCTCAGTCTTCATTCCGCACATCTTGTTAATCTCAATCTCCAGGTTCGTGTATTTGGACAATTTATCGATAATTTTCATGGAGGTTTTTTTCTCACTTGTTACCGCTACGTCAAGTATACACTTCCTTGTATTTGGATAATTTCTCGATAACGATTTCCAGGTCCTTGTACATAGACAATGCACACAGATAATATATCCCGTATTTGTATGGGCTTATTATTAATTAATTAATAATCTGAATAATTAACAATACTCCTCATATATATTTTTGCATATACGCTATTAAGCGATGTCCATACTCGGGAATATTAATTTAACTCTGACGAGAAATAATTCATTTTCATCCTTGACCACA